CTTTTTAGAGGTTGGAATGCATCGTTTGTTTCCAACTGGCATATGTAATAACTGAGCTTGGTAATGTTTGGTCATTTTTCCAGCTACACTGGAAGTGTGAACGCTCAAGAGGATAATGCTAAGTTTTTACATTCGATTAATTAAAAAATGGAATCAGAGACTTTGACCGTAGACCATTGGCCAAATGTTCTTCCGCGGGTTCTTGCTTCTACTGTACCTGTGGTTTGGATTGCTATCAGCTATGTAGACCTTGGAAAGTAGGCTGCAACTGTTGATGGGGGAGCTCGCTTCAGTTCCGATGTGGTGTTGCTCATGCCTGTATTTAATTGTGTCACAATTCTTTGTCAATATCTCTCAGCTTGTATTGCCGTGGTCACTGGCAAAGATCTTGCTCAGGTAGTCATTCGCCTTCAGTGTTTTATTTTGCACCAGGTGGATAAATTTTTTTAGACTTGACATCCTTAGTGACTTTAGATTAAGAATTTGCAGATATTGGGGAATGAGGAGTCGATATACATTATTTGTTATACTCAGTATGGCCTTTTAATTCATTTGAAAAGTATTTGCACTAATTACTAAGAAAACAGTCATCTTGCATAAGTGTTTTTTTTTTGTTGTCTTGAATATTGAACCCCATAATGATCATACAAAGTTTAATTTAAGAGACAACAGTGTATGTTCCTTCATCTGGTGAAAGTTTAAAATGTGCCCCCATTTTTTATGAGCTTCCAATCTTAGGATTTATGATGTGTTTTCCAGGGATATGTAATGAAAAAAAAAGCGTGCGCGCACAGTCCGTGTCTCCGTGAGGCACGTAGACATGTCCTGCAAGTAAACATCAACGTTTTCTTGATATCCTACGTTTAGAACAATACGTAATTGGCAATGTACCAATAGCTGGTAGATCATGGATAATATGCACTTCTCTATTGATTCCATATGAAAATGCACGCAGTGACTGGTACCTTCATGTAAATTTTCATGAGCGGAAATTTATGATATATGATTGTAGTAACAATGTTCATACGGCACAAGTCATGGAATGCGCCAATCCAATATGTAATCCTCTTAAAAGTGTCGAATATGTGTGAGGATTAGCTATTCCTTTTTACGTGTAATTATCGCATTAAAAAAATTCTTATCACCACCAGTAATTGCAGATACCAGTAACTATGTTAGCAATAACTTGTATTCTTTGACACACACGAGGTTGATTATT